TGAGGGGGGCGGTGGGGTGAGCCTGGTGTTGGGTATAATGGAGGGCACGTATTGCATGGAGCAGTGGGTGTGGTGCATAAACAATGAATTTTGGAACACTGGAAAAAAAAAACTGAAAAAAAATGTTATCTATTTTGGGACTCAGAGGACTGACCATATGCTAACAGACTGACAAAAGTTGAGTGTTTTAGGATCATTATTATTAGGATGATTACCACTACTGGTATCATCATCATTATTAATTGTACACAACTCAAATTATGGACCTCTAATTCCTGCATTTAATTTTACAGCTCCTTAGCATCAAATAAAATACAGTCTCTGGGGAAAAGAGCAAGTTGTCAATTGTAACTTGATTTGTTCAACACAGTTTTGTCTCAGGCTGTAAATTGAATCAATTCTGATTTTGTTAGTCTTTGAAGAGTGTTACATTCTACTGAACCCAATACTTGTGTTATAGAAAAACAAGTAGGGAGCATTTTGAAATCCAATATTTGCTACACTTTCTGATTAACAAGCAGAAGGAGTGGATGTGATCAATACCTGGATTCCCTGAACAAAATATATTTCCTTTGTGGAAAATCTGTCTTGATATGTAGGCTTTTCCCACTTGCCAGCCCCTTCCCTCCCCAAGTCCGGCTCATCGTCACCTCTTTCTTGGACCACTTCAGTCTTCCGCTCCCGCCTGCCTGTCCCTCTCCCACAGAGTCCATTCCCTGTACGGCACTGACCTTTGAAAGTTTTGTGTCCCAATGGGCCACTACTTGGAAAACCTCCAAGGGTTTTCTGCAATGGAATAAATCGCAAACACCCTTCATGGTGTACAAAGCCCTGTGGAGCCGGCCCTTAACTACCTCTCCAAACCATCTCCTACCGCCTGCTTTCCGCCCACATCGCTCCCATCACCTGAATCAGCATTTTGTTCCATGAACACACCCCAATCACCCTCCACTCGGGTGTTTTCCTCTTGCTGTTCCTTCTGCAGAACTCATTCCTTCGACAGGACTGGCCTCTTACCATTTGTGTCCCCATTCATGTGCCCCCCTCCTCAGAAAGGACTCTCTATCCTCCTGAACGACAATTCTGTCCTGCCCCCTCACCTGTTCTCGTTTCTAACACTTATCATTAGCTTATCATCTTGATGGCGTCTATGTTTGTTTCCTGTCTTGTTGCTAGAATGTACAGAGTTTCATGTGTTGCATATAAAACTTAGATGTTGCCTTCATTGCTTTATCCATGTGGTACAGAAGGTGGGAGCTCACTAAATTTTATAGAAAGAATATATAAATTTCAATTCCTGTATTTTTGTAAGTGATGTAGTCAAAACCCTAACAGGCCAGAGTGACTTTAAGCCATCACACAGGGTTTTACCCAGCTACCTGAGGGACTTACTTTAGTAGTTATTTATTCCCTCATTCCTTAAGTCATGCAGCCAATAAATCACTCATTTCTTAGTTGCACTTTATAATCTAACTTTGTATAAAGTTTTCATCCTATCATTTTCTATATGTTTGACAATTATATAAAGAACACGAATTAGAATAAAATCTCAAAGACTATAGAATGTACTGTACCATATGGTGTTTGATAATAAAGAAGTGGAAGGCTTCTTTCTTCCGGAAGACTAATATACTGCTTTAAAAATGTTAAATTATATATTCATAGATATTTAGAGAAACCTCCCTTGGGAAAATATAAATTAAATTCAAGACGATGAACATAGATAAGTAGAATGAATTTGTTATCAGGAGGTTACCTCGAAATGGAAGAGGTGCTTTAAGGGCAAATGAAATTGAAGGTGAGTATAGACATAGGAAGAAAAAAGTCTATGACAGGCAAGAACACAGGAAGTCTATGCTGATTTCTATATACTGTTTCTAATCCACCACTACAAGTAACTCTACGGGATCATCTAGAATTTTGTAGTGCAGAAACGGTACACAAGGTTCGGGGACTGAGGAGAACTAGAAAGTTTTTTGAAAGGACATGATCTCTTCTCTGAAAAAAAAAATGTATATTTACATGCACAGATACCTATAAAGTGTATTTCTTAAGCACCTATTATATTCCAGGGATTCTGTCAATAGCTTTAGCAGCATTATCCTCTAACACTCATGACATCTCTGTGAAAACTTTTATTGCCTTACTTTAGATGAGGAAATGGGAGCAGAGGTAATTTGATTTGTATCAGGTCAGAGAGCAGTAAATGACAGATCCCGGACTCTGGCTGGTTGAGTTCGAAGCCTAGGTGTAGTAAACACACTACACCTCTATCCTGTTGATCTAAACACATTTAAATGGGTCGTTGCTGGTCTTCCATAATTGTATGTGTCATGATAGCAGCCAGAGAATAGTCTGTTGTTTTTCAAGAGTTATTTCTTTTGTTACTACCTTAACTCTAAAAATGAATAGCTAAATGCTCCCCTCGCCTTTTTTAGATTAAAACCTTGAAAGATCTTCAGTGAAATGTTGAATAAATTATGGTATTGCCATATTCCAAAAAGGGTGAAACATTATAATACAAAAGAGTTCTATCATTATGAATTACCCTGGAAGAATGCCTGTCACACACAGTTAAGTAAAAACAGCAACACAGAGGCCAGTGGTCCCTGTTTGCTGTGGAAATGCACATGGAAGTAGGGAAAGGTGGAATCCATACTCTTAATAATGGTTATCTAGGGGATGCCTGGGTGGCTCAGTCAGTTAGGTGTCTGCCTTCAGTTCAGGTCATGGGATCAAGCCCCGCATCGGGCTCTTTGCTCAATGGGGAGCCTGTTTCTCCCTCTCCCTCTGCCTGCCGCTCCCCCTATTTGTGCCCAGTCTCTCTCTCTCACTTCTTCCTTTCTCTCTCTGACAAATAAATAAATAAAATCTTTAAAAAAACCACCAAAAACAATGGTTATCTACTTGTGTGGGGAATCTGTTTTTAATTTCATCTTTGTAGTAGGATTTATTTTCATAAGCATGGGTTACTTTTGTACTTAATAATGAATATAATTTTTTTTCACAACTGTTTGTTTCTAAATATAATCTTCCCATAAGTTTGAATAGCTTCCTCAGATGATTTTCTTTCTTAACCCTTTCCTCCTCCTACCGAAGTACCAGATTTTTAATTTGTTTTACACACTGAACTTCCAGATGAGATTACCACTGAATGAGAGTCCTTAGCAAAAACTTGAAAAACATCAGTCCCCATTATCTCAATATGTACGCTACTGAGATTAGTAATTACTAATTACTAATACATTATACCAATGAGAAATCCCAGCCTACTCTTTTTATTGTATCAAAAGCCATACACATACAATTCGAAAATTAAAAATGAACTAAGTTTGATTTCTTTCACTTGAATGACCATTCAGTGGATGGCCTGGAGAGAATACTAGTCTGCAGTCTAGGGCTTTGGTAATGCAATCTCCAGATTACTTAGAGCACATTCATTTGGTGTTCAGACACCTTGAAAGGAAAATTCTAGGCAAAGCAATTTTAAACCCTATTCTATAGCTTTAAAGGGCTCTCGAGTACCTAAAAATGGACAGAACTAGAAAGGATGTCTTAACCAAGCCTGAACTATCTTTCAGTTAGGAAGTATATTCTGAACGAGTGCGTAAGCTTCCCTTCCGATCTGTTTCAAAAGAACCGGGAGACAGCTTGGCTTAGTCTTGTGAGTTCACCCCAGCACCAAACCCACCAAGGTGGAAGCAGCAGGGTTACTTGTACTCCAGCTGCCAACACTGCATTAACCTGCTGCACTCACTCCCACCACCCCAGATCTGGGCTAAATGCACAACCGTCCCGTGGCTGGCGTAATTCGTAGTAAATTACATGAAATTCAACAAACATTTACTGAGCACTCCCTAGAGTTCTGTGCACTCCTTGGGTTTTGCAAAGCCTCTCAAGATGGGCGTAAGCCCTGCTATCCCACGACACAGAATTTAATGAGGAAGACACAGACCAGAATAACGGACATAAAGCACACTATGATAATGACTTTGTGTGACACTGGGAAGAATACGCAGTTTCGTGGGCGCAGGGTAGGGATTGCTGGCACTTGGTTCTAGTTCAGGCAGTGACGAGGCTTCTGGGGAGAGGCAGCATTTTAACGGAGGCTTGCTGGTGGAAGAGCATGGGCCGTATAATCGTAAGGCATAGGGATGAGGCGGGGAAAACAGTACATGGTAAAGGATAGGAAGAGCAACTGCGCTTCCATTACAGAAAACGTAAAAAGAGATGATGAAGGAAAGGGAGGACGGGCCCAGATCACGATTAAAATGCATGCTTTAAATCACCCAAGGTTTCATTCACAAGTAAGAAACAGAAAGGAGATCTTCTGACGGAGCGCTCCTCCTTCCATGATTACAACTATAGGGTGACCTTATTTCTTATTTAATGAAAATAAAATGGGATTTTTTTAAGAGCTGTAATTTGAAGGAGAAATTCTATTACAGTAGATTACCTGGTCAGGTTTTGAGGGGAGGAGTGGTATGGGAATTTCTTAGTGAAATGAAGAAAAATGCTGATAAGCAGCCTCGTTAGGGAACTTGGGAGCCAGGATAACAAGAATATTGTCCTGGGAGAGAAGTGAAACCTGGGAAGGGTGTATGAAAGGGGGAGGCCCAGAAGGGCACTGCTGGATGACCTCAACTGGAGAGATTCAGTATTTTCATTTCTCTTCCATCTCATGGAGCTAAGAATTTATTGCTCCAAAAGCAAGATTCACATATTAACGGATACATTTCCTTTGAGCAAACCTAAGCAGTCAAATACACCTCTGTTCTTGTCAGGGGAAACTCTCTAGCTCTTAGCTCATTTGCAAAACGGATGCAACACACAATACTAAGGGTTCAGTCCCTCTTTCTATAAACCTGTCTTCTGGCTCAGCTATGGACTCTGTCCATTCCTCTAGACCCAAGGACTGGAACCCACAGTTGCAGAGACGGTTTCCCACGAGAACCATCACCGAAGGACAAAGTATGAGCCAAGGTGCTTTTAAAACCTACCATTCTAACGCCGTTTTCAAAGGCTTGGCGGGTGAGTGGAGCCGGTCCATCCACGGTCTTGCCATCATCATCCGGGCCCCAGCTTGCACTGTAGATATGCACGTGCTGGGGATTGAAGCTAACCGATTTTGCTTCAACCATGTCCGTGACATCTCCATCCAGCATCCGAACCCCTTCCAGACAGAAGGGAATTAGCTTGAATAGAGCATTCACTGTAGAACCCCCAGACAGCCCAAGACATATTCCAATTACAGCAATTGGGGGGCGAAGAATCAACATTTAATCAACACTTAAGTGAGCATCTTCTCCCCCCTGAAAAAGATAACACAGACTCTTCCAAAGTTTTCTTGGAGAGAAAGTAAGTTACGTCGTATGTGAGAGAGCAAAACTTCTTTAAAACCTTTTTTTTATTCATTATTCTCTTTTTGAAAGTTCCCACAATCTCTCCCTTCTCTTTATCCCTGTCTTCAGAGAGTACTTGACAGAGAGCCTCAAGCAATCCATCTTCCCTAAATTTCTCTTTATTAGGTAACTTGTGTTCATAATTGGTATAAAGCATTCTGACCTTAGCGGGCTGACAAAATTTGGAAAGCTGCCTAGTTAGGTTGGTCTAATTTCCTCTCTCCTTAATATTATCTTCTAATCTGTAAGACTGATGTGAACTTAATATATTATTTCTTTGCCAAGTTATTTATAAGTCAAATAATAAATGAGAATGCTCTCTGTGCATGTAACACATCAATTATGTCTCAAAGGGTTTTAACCATGTTCAGTCATTAATCTTCATTTATGTATATTCCCACCAGACAGACAGGGATTTGTTATTAACCTTAACAGGAAAAAAATAGACACAGACACCCAAGAATAAATTACACATCAAATGTCAGGCCTTCTCTCTGTCCTTCTATTCTGGAGACTCTGAACGACAATGAAACATCTAATTGTGAAGTAAACCTATATCTCCTTCAGCTTAAGCTAATAAGCACCACTGAGATGCTGTATTATTTTACAATTCTATCTTTACAGCTCAAGTTTACTCCTTAGAAAAATCTTGTTCTCTAGCGGGATTTCAAGTTTTTCTGGCCACCGACACGTGGGGCTTAAATAATAAAAACCCTAATCAGGCAGCTTTGATACTAGGAGGTTTGAGGCGGGACTTCTGGTGGAAAATCAACAAATTCTTGAAAAGACTACACCTTCTTTGTGCTTTAAAAAAATGTTTAACTTTAAACTCTAAAATTTGCAAACATACAAAACAGAAGAAATGACCATGAGGCCGGAGACAGACAACACTTAACTGGTGACATTCTGCCATATTTCCAGGGGAACCTTTCTCAGCTACATGACAGATAGGTCACTATATCCTTGAATAATTACTTCCAAAAGAACAGTGGAAGTCAACACTCGGGACATATTACATTTCCTCCCAGCGCCCCTAAAGACACTGCACTTGCTTGTAATATCTCTTGACTGTCATTTCCTTGAGACCTTTGGATTTTTAAAGGGATGTATAGACAAGTGACGTGGATCACAAGGGTTATAAATACATTACTTTAAAAATTATCAAAAGGAAACTGTACTTAGAAGGCTTTTCAGCACTCTGTTTTAGGGGAGTAGAATGTCCAGCTGGATGCTCTTTGTGTGTACTGGGTCCTAAGCAGCCACTGGTTTGGTTTAATTTGACATGAATATTCAAAATTTATCTGCACGGTTTTTACTGAAAACAAGAACTATTTCGTATGCCCTCCATTTTTACTTCTTGCTATTTCAAAGGATAAAATGGAACTACAGTTGACCCTTCAACAACTGAGGGTTAGATGCGCTAACCCTCCCCCAACACCACGCAGTCAAAAATCCACGTACAAACTTGACTCCCCAAACACGTAAATAGCAATAACCTACTATTGCCTGGAAGCCTTCCCGATAACATACACAGTTGATGAACACATATTTTATAAGATATGTGCATTACAGATTATATTCTTACAATAAAGTTCAAGAAAAGGTTATTAAGAAAATCTTACAGAGGACATAGTCCGCTTATAGTACTGAACCGTATGTACTGAAAAAAAAATTGTATTTAAGTGGACACACGCAGTTCAAACCTGTGCTGTTTAAGGATCAACTGTATTTTATCGGTACAAAGAAATAAACACTGGGTTGTACCACTGCCAACACAGAGGAGTAGTTACATAATATTTGGGTGTAGTTCCTAGGTCTACAACTGATGGAAGTCCGGGAAAAAAAAAGCTTGATGAAATCGTATCTAGAGGATAATATTCCTTTTCTGACCAAATATTAACAAGTAATTATTTTTGTTTCCTCAAGTTTTAAGATGAAAGGCCCATTTTTCTTTATCTGACTATAAGCCTTCATGCTTTGGGACCGGGGGGTTAATTTATAATTCAGAATGCTCCTGTTTGGGGGATGACAGAACATTGGTGAGTCACTGCCATCCGTTCATTTTCTCATTGAAGTCCTGTTTGGCGAGATCCGCAGCTTGTCTGTGGTTTCGTTCCTTCAGCCCCTCAAGGTCAGTGAATGCTGGGTTAGCACGGGAGAGGGAGGACACGGACATGGACGTGTGTTGGTGCATGTGAGGGACTGTGTGTGTCGTGTCTGGGACAGCAAGCAGGGTTGATTAGCAGCTACCATGGTCACTGGAAACTCTTGAGACTATCAAGGGTGTCCGGCACCCTCATCGTTCTTCAGGGGAAGTTTCTGTCTCCTTTCCTTAGCTCCCTCATGAACTTACCCCCGACGCACAACAGATGCTCTCAGAGTACAGCTAATTACTGGTTAACAAGCTGCCATACTCTAAGAATTCAGTGTGAAATAAAGGACAGAAAGAGGTCAAATGCACTGAGCACTGATATTTGAGGTAGTGTCAGGAACCTTTTCTTAGCACCGTTACTAAACACCCCCAATATGTCACGTTACAAGATCTCTACATTTACTCTAGGAAGGACAGTTATTTTTATTTTAAATGCAATTCTATATACCACTTGGCAACAATAGTGTACTGGAAATGAAGATGTCAGTCTAGTTACCAGGAAGGTCATTCATCTGTGACACTGGTTAGGAAAACCCCCTAGGGGACACCTTCGAGCCACTAGGATCTATCCTGTCTCTTACCACGTGCCTGCGGTATCAGGTGACAGCTGACGAGGATAATTACAAATGTGAAGGAGTTTGCTTCTGTCAATGCCTACGTTGATACTCCCTTAGGTCTTTGTGGTAGGCATACTTATATCTGAGTTTGTGCATGTGTGTGTAATGTACATACATAATCTGGGATTATTAACAACAACTCTATTGCTCTATTATGGGTCTACAAAAGGAGATTATACCAATTCCCATTTTAATTTCCATTAAAAAGGAACTTTCGGTAAAACATAAGGAAAAAGGGGAAAAAATGGATTTTCCGTTCTGACATTACTTTCAGAATGTCTCTCTCCATAGAGACACCATGGGCTGACATTAAGGTGATCAGTTCTTTGCGACCCAGGCAGCCACTGGATAGATCGGGACAGATGTCAATGACCCCAAATTCATGACTGGACAGGTTCTCCATGCCTGTTTTAAATCAAGAAACATCTGTGCTCGCACCCCCAGAAGGGTACTGCTTCAAAAGCCCTGAACTTTATTTAATAACACACGTGAAGACAGTCCTTTTCGGCCACAGTTGAACACTGCCCTGCCAACGAAGCCCTGTCTTGAGCTCTGAAAGAGTGCTCCATCTACCCACGTTTGTTTCCCGTACCTCCGATCTTGGCATTGAAAGCAATTCCGACCGTGCAGTGAGAGTTGTTCGCTGCGGCTGCCACTTCTCCAGCACAGCGGGTCCCGTGCCTGCAGGGAGAACACACACACGTGTTCAAGGAAGACACTCCATTCTTCTCAACTCGCAACGTCCTCTCCACCAGCTGGACTCCAGAGGCGTGAAGCCTGCGTCAAGCTGTGGATGTTTCTGGAACTTCTACCCAAGTAGCCCTTAGCCTACCCACTGCCAGCTTTTAATTATATTCTGTTTCGGATTCTGATTGATATACATATTCCTTATACCTTGATTTCCCAATCAGGAAATCTCCTTGAAAGCTAAACTCGAATAGTGTGTTTCTTTGTATTCTCTAAACTTCCATTGTCCAATATGGTAACTACCAGCCATCTGTGGCTGTTGGGTACTTGAAATGCTGCTTGTGTGACCTTATCTCAACTTTAATTTTAATTAAGGAACTGGCACTCAATTCAATTATTACGAAATTTAAGAACGTCAGTATATGCGAATCTGCTTCTTACTGTAAATTTAAGTAGAGATCAAGTATCTGCAGTCAAATGTCATCTAAAATATGATGTGCAGTAACTATACACTGGATTTCCAAGATTTTGTATGAGAAAACAACGTGAAATAGTCCACGATACTTGTTTTCTATAAATGAAATGAAATCTGTTATTTAATAAAATGTATCATCAGTATTTATTTCACCTGTTTCCACCACTTTAAAAACACGGCTACTAGAAAAGCAGACGCCTTTTTCTGGAAAACATTCCTTTTATTTCTCATCACAGTGACTTTGTTCCTCAGAAAAAAATCCTTTTGTTGAAAGGACTTCTAAGACCATCCCATGCAAGGATAGCAAAGAAGTTCCAAGTGCAAAGTACAATCTGTTTAGAAATGTTGACCTAACGCTCTGCTGAGAAGAATCCCGAGGTCTGGCTGAGCCCAGGGAAAGGAGACTAGGGCTGATGGCTATTAACTGCCCTGGATGCAGAACAGGGGTATGAGGCGTATGACAACCGCTGTGGGGGTATCAGTCATTGCTAATGAAGTCCAAGGCTCAACCCCTCACCCTCATTTTTAGAGATGGGGATGCTTAAGGAGCCCTGAGATGTAAGAAGATAGGGTGAAATCAGCCTAATAGTGACTAAGACTCAGTTCCCCCAAATACTATGTCATTATTTTTTATTTTACAGCATAGACCACGCTCGTCATGGGCTAGGATTACCATCTGTGCAACTGTAAATGAGTGACTGCTTACAAATGGACACGTACACACGCAAGTTCATATAACAGACATATGTTCTGCTTAGTCCACTTACTAATGTCACGCTTATCTTACTATGTCAATATTAGCCTGTCTGTCCTTAAAAAGCTGACTATTACCCCCTGTCATCTTTTAAATGGTACCCCGCCCATAATCTATTTCTCAAGTGCTTGATTTCTGGAAATTGACCCAGTTTTTCACTGAGAGTAACAAGGCTACGAAAAACAATCTCGAGCCTTTATATACTTGGATAACTTGGGATAAATTCTACAAATGGAATGACTGGATCAAAGAGCGCAGAATATATTGTCAAGTTGTTAATGGAAGATTAAAGTAATAAAACCAAACCTCAAAAAAAACCTTTGCAGGATGGATAAATATTATTAAAAAACATATTTTTATGTATGACCAAAAAAAAAAGACCATAAGCCTACTCAAATGACAATATGAAGAATGGAGGAAATATCTGAACAGACCCATGTCTATAAACCCCTAGTATGAGTTTTTTAATCTTTTCATCCTTGCCAATCTGACATGAAAAATGTTATCTCATTGTTGCTTCTCTTTTTATCCCCTCAGATTACATTTGTTATTGTCCATCTTTTCAAATATTTATTAGCTATTTCTATTTCTTGCTTTGAGAATAATCGTTTATGTCTTTTGCCCAAAATTTCTTATTGTTTTCCCATCATAGCTATTGTACATACGTTTCTATATGTGTTATTTGGAACACAGCAATCGTATTTATGGCAATTTTAGGATGTTCCACACAGCAATTAATTTTGATGCACTCATAATTATCTTGCCCTACTGATATCTGGTCATACCACTTTCATCATCAAAAAAATGATCCATTTTTAAAAGAAAAAAAGATTTCTTTTGTAAACTACAAGCTGAACTACTAATTTTACCCCTGAGCTCAGCAAGTATTTACTATAATTCTTCATCAGTCTCTGATTATGTATTACTTCATGGTGTAATTTTTTCTTCACACGTCAAATACCCTTTATGAGTCCATTGTTCTTAAACTTCACTGTATCTATCATTAACTAAGAAAAGTGCTATGGGATCATAAGGATGAGATTCTCATTCTCCAATGGTTATTTATGAGTCCATTATGACAAGTTTGTTCATTGTATTATGGATTTGATATTGTTTTCTGCAGTTCTGTCAATTTTTATTTTATTTAGAATGGAATGATTAAATCTTCCTCGTGAAACTATTTATGAAAATTCAGTAAAACTCTGGGATTCTTGCAGTAAAAACAAAACAAAACAAAAATTAAAGAAACCAGGCTAATAGCCGGGCTAATAATTAAATTGCATACCTCTTTGTCCTCTTTACTATCAAACATTCTGTGTTCCTATCAGTTATACCTCTCTTTTATTTGACACAGAGAGAGAGAGCACAAGTAGGCAGAGCAGCAGGCAGAGGGAGAGGGAGAAGCCGGCTTCCTTGCTGAGCAGGGAGCCCAATGCGGGGCTTGATCTCAGGACCCTGGGATCATGACCTGAGCCAAAGGCAGCCACTTAACCAACTAAGCCACCCAGGTGCCCCAAACTTTTTGAGTACTTTTTTTTTTTTTTTTAAGAGATTTTATTTATTTATTTGAATGAGAGAGTGAGAATGGGAAAGACCGCATGAGAGGGAAGAGGTCAGAGGGAGAAGCAGGGTCGCTGCTGAGCAGGGAGCCTGATGTGGGACTCAATCCCGGGACTCTGAGATGATGACCTGACCTGAAGGCAGTTGCTTAACCAACTGAGCCACCCAGGCGCCCCTTATATCTCTTATAAATAGAATATAATTACATTTTTTTGAAGCTAGGCTACCTTTGTCTTTAACTAAAAATAGGTCCATTTACAGAGACTAAATCCCATTGTTATATTAATGCTTACTGTAGCTATTTGCTATTTGCTCAAGGATACCTAACTCCACAAAGTCTATAAGTCATCAACACGTTTTTCAATTTTTCCCAAACGATACAGACTAGAATGCTTTATTTATTTATTTATTTATTTAAAAGACTTTATATATTTGTCAGAGAGACAGAGAGCACAAGCAGGGGGAGAACCAGGCAGGGGGAGAAGCAGGCTCCCCACTGAGCAAGAAGCCTGATGTGAGACTTGATCCCAGGACCCCAGGATCATGACCTGAGCCAAAGGCGGATGCTTAACTGATTAAATCACCCAGGTGTCCCACAGACTAGAATTTTTTTTTTTTTTAAAGATTTTTTTTTTTTTTTATTTGACAGAGAGAGATCACAAGCAGGCAGAGAGGCAGGCAGAGAGAGAGAGGAGGAAGCAGGTTCTCTGCTGAGCAGAGAGCCCGATGCGGGGCTCGATCCCAGGACCCTGAGATCATGACCTGAGCCAAAGGCAGCGGCTTAACCCGCTGAGCACCCAGGCGCCCCCAGACTAGAATGTTTTAATTGTGATTACTCTTTAGCACATGAAATCTCCATGATTACAGTTATACATTGGAATTTTTGACTTTGGAAACTAACCCATTAGTGTCATTATTTTGAATAATCAACGTTTGTTTAGATATACAAATAGTCTTTGCTCTATTTGTTTTTTTAGTTATAACTCCTTCTAGGATCCTGGATTTTTTTTTTTTTTTCTGAAGAATATTGTATAAATGCGTCCATCAGGGAGTCTCTTGGTGGCCTTAGAAAATGACTTTATTTTACTATTGTTTTTGAAAAATAATTTTACTGGGAATAACAATCTAGACTAATGGCCCTTCAAAAATGCCATTCCACTGTCTTCAAGCTTCTATTGTTTCTGATGAGAAATCAGCCATCTTGGCGTTTTAGTTCTCTCTGGGCACTTTTCAGATCTTCTCTTTGTCTTTTCTACTCTGCAGGTTCATTAAGACATTGAATGTTTGAATTTTTAAAAATTCTTTCTTAGAATTCCTAGACCTGTGATTTAATGCTTAAATCATCAAGAGTCTTAGCTGCTACTTTTTTTTTTTTTTTAAAGATTTTATTTATTTGACAGCGAGAGATCACAAGTAGGCAGAGAGGCAGACAGAGAGAGAGAGGGTAGGAAGCAGGCTCCCTGCAAAGCAGAGAGCCTGACGTGGGGCTCGATCCCAGGACCCTGGGATCATGACCTGAGCCGAAGGCAGAGGCTTTAACCCACTGAGCCACCCAGGTGCCCCTCGGCTGCTACCTTTGAAAGCTATCTTAATCTTCCATTTCACCTTCAGATTTCCCATAGCTTTCTCTCCCTAGGCTGCTCTCCCCATAATCTGCTCAGTTCTGTATTTCACTTATCTTCACCCATGCCTAACCTGCTATTTAGCCCATCACTGCATTATTCGTGTTGAGTGTTATATGTTTTATTTAATTTTTTTTGAAGTTCTTTTTCAAACCCACCTGGTTAATTTGAATAGTTTCTTTAAAAAAACAAACTGTTCAATTCTATGTACTGAAATATATATTTCTTGATATATATGAATTATATGTAATAATTCTCAAACATTTCAAACTACTTCTGCTCTTTTTGCTGCTGGATTGTTTCCATGGTGATGTTTTCCCCATGTGGGGGGTGAACGGTCCATTTAGGTGGTCATGTTGTTTGCTTTTATCTTTGTGAATTCTTTGAGGCTGGACTGGGTGATGCATCAAGGGTTCTGTTTTATGCAAGTGTTTTCTCACTTCACTACCATCCTTGCACTTTTAAAAATCCAGCTCCAGGCTGGCTGGGTTTAGCTGATCACTCTGGAAAATTCCTAGTGTCCACCTATTGCCTACGCCCTTTACAGATCCAAGCTTTCACAAAGAAATACTCTGTGTGTCCC